CATGCGTGCCATGTTCTCCCAGACAGCCTCACTGTGTCAGGGACACGGCAGCTCTGTGAGCTCACAGCCCTTGCACTCCCGGCTCCCCTGAGACATGTGCCAGATGGGCGTCACTGGCATAGCAACATGGCAAACCAGATTCCCACTCCCCCCTTGGCCGAGGGCCACCTGTGGGTCCCCTGCAGCTGATGGGGATGGACCCTCTCAGACAGGCCGCCCACATACCACTTGCCTCCCTGCTTTGATGGCTGTCTGGCTGGCAAATGCTCCTCTGCGCCACACCTGCCTGGACCCTCTGCTGGACCCTCCGGCAGGGGACCCACAGGGAGAAGGGGCGTAGAGCCTTTATACCCCAGCGGAGCCCCAGCCCCGATCCCCTGAGGACCCACACAGGATGCCTGGTATGGGGTCTGTTGGTGTGCCCCTGACCTGGGCTGAACAGAGGTGGGGGTCCTGGGGATAATCCTGCACATGCCCAGAACTCCATCCTTGTCCTTGTGCTCACGAGTTGCCGCAGGGCTCCACGCAGCCCCACTGGGGAGGTTTGGACACACAGGTCCGTCCCCCCGGTATTAGCCTTCTAGCAAGTTGTCTGCTGCCAACATGGATGGGGGGGCTCGCGACCTCCCTGAAGGTCGTAGTCTCCTGTGAGTCTCGAAACCTCTGCCGCAGAGCCGCTACCCCTTGGGAAACCACGCTCCACAAAATTCAGGGGTCCTGGGGTTGCAGACCCTGTGCTCAGACCCGATGCTCTCTAAATATAACAGTGTGGACTCTGCACAACGTGGTCAAGACAACGGGCGGCTGGGTCTGATGCTTCCTGGGCTCCCAGCAGCCTTGACGAGCCTGATGGCCAAAGAAAGGCCAGGACAGGCTTTGGGGCAGGACAGACCTCCTCTCAGGTTTCCTGACACATGGGAGCGAGGTGAAGACAGCCCCAGGAGTCGGCCCGGAGCACTCGCAGGCGCGCCTGTGGTCCAAGTGCGCATCTAGGCACCCTTCCTCGCGAGCGCACGTACACGGTGGTAGGTTCCTTTGGGTCCTGCTAGAACTTTAATTCACTGGTTATAGGAGGGATGGCAGGAAAGTGCGGGGGAGACTGGTGGGCTTTGGCAAAGACAGTCGGTGAGGGGACCCTGTGCACCGTTGGGTGGCAATGCCCCTGGTGACCTAGCACAGGGCCCCCCTCAGCCCCGTGGGCACTTTACCCGGTACCAGCCTCCTTCCCCGACACTCACTCGGGAATTCAGGCGACGGCAGCGGCTGAGAGCAGAAGCCCCATGAAACCTGTGTGGCTGGCTTTGCCCTCGTCGGCCAAGGCTTTGGGCAAGAATCACTTTCTCTGCCCTCAATTCCCTCCCCAGCAGCAAGCTTCTGGTGGGGGAAGTGGGGGCAGCAGGGTGCCCTGGTCACAGTTGGACTCAGGAGGTGGCTCTTCGCTCACAGAACGGATGCACAGCTGCCAGTCCCCTGGCGGGCAGGTGGGCAAGTGCTGCGGACCAGGCGCTGCCAGGACAAGCCCCTCCCTTCTCCCTTTCCAGATGGTTCTGCCTGGGAACCGTAAGATGCCCCCAGCCCTAGGACCCATGTGGGGGCATGGACGAGGCCTCCATACCCTCTCCCCACCCTCTGCACAGTCCAGAAAACAGACGGCTGATATCTGCATGCGTTTCAAGTGGAAAACTGGAATAAGCAGAGAAACTCAGCAGCCCATCCCAGAGCCTTCACTGACTTAGTTTCCCTGTGTGTCCCTGGGCCTGCGGTGTGCAGGAGCAGCCCGGCTGCTCCCGTGCCACCCTCCGAGCTGAACCACCAGTGGCCATCCCCTCACCTGGGGTGGGGGGCTGGGGGGAGCCTGCCCTGAAGCGGCAGCCAGAGACCCAGGGCCGGGGAAGGGTCCCCGCCACCCGCCGCTGCAGGATGGGGTTTTGAACAGCTGCCACCCCCACAGCTCCAGCCCTTCCTGTCGTCCTGCCGGCGACGATCTCACATCTGCACTTCATCAACGTGAGAGCTGCAGATGCCAGAACACGCAGGCTGCTGAGGGGCCCGGCCTGAAGACGGCCCCCTTTCTGGAAAGCTCTGACTTGAGAGCTGCCAGAACCGGCCCTGGAGTCCCCTCTTCTCAGGCCTGCAGGGTCACCGCTTCCCCGTCCACCAAGCAGCCGGAGCGTCTCTGCCCCGAGACAAAGCTCCTGCCCGCCCCACTGCCTGTGCAGGAACAGGGCAGGTGCCCTGGTGCTGCAGCTGCACTGTGCCCGCCCTGTGCCCCACACGCACAACTCGGGAGGACGGGGAGGGCCCTCAGGAGGTCTGGTGTCCAGGTGGGCCCCATGGTCACATATGAGTGAAGAGCCCACATGGGGTCACCTCTCTCCTCTGTAGGCAGGGCCTCCCGGCCTCACCTGGCAGGGGAGCTGGATGGAGCTGATCCAGCAGGCACCAAAGACCCCCCCAAAGATAAGTGATTTAAACAAATTATGGTGGTGGCGTTGGGAGAGCCTCCTTGCGGAGGTGACCTGCTGCACCCTGTGCTTAGGGACTCAGTGGTCCTAGTCTTCTGGGGAGAAGGGGGCCATGTGCAGAGGGCTATGGGTGTCTCCCTGGAGCCCCCAGGACACTGGAGCAGAGACGGGAGAGTGGAACACAGGCTAAGGAGAGGATGCGGGGGCAAGAACTCAGCTGATGCATCTGCTACAAATTCGGCTGGGAAAAATGCTGAAATAAGCCAGATCCCTCCGGGACTGGAAGGGAAGATGATTCTCCAAAGACCCCCTGCCTTTCGGGGACACAGGCTTGGTGGTGCAGGGAGCCACACCTTGCCTGCTGTGGTTGCAGAGCCCCCTACAAACAAGTGATCCAAAGTAATGGAGGGGGGATCCCTGGGTGGCGCAGCGGTTTAGTGCCTGCCTTTGGCCCAGGGCACGATCCTGGGGACCCAGGATCAAATCCCACGTCGGGCTCCCGGTGCATGGAGCCTGCTTCTCCCTCTGCCTGTGTCTCTGCCTCTCTCTCTCTATCATAAATAAATAAAAATTAAAAAAAAAAGTAATGGAGGGCCATGAATATTCTTGCTGTTCTGATTTTGTAACAATCAGGGCAGGTAAACATTCACTAAATTAAGACCACGTATGTGGGACACCTGGGTGGCTCAGCAGTTGAGCACCTGCCTTTGGTCCAGGGATCGAGTCCCGCATCAGGCTCTGCGCAGGGAGCCTACTTCTGCCTCTGCCTGTGTCTCTACCTCTCTCATGAATAAATAAAATCTTAAAAAAAAAAGAAAAGAACACTTATGTGTCCACACACCTAGTTCTTTCCCTGCATCTGGTTTTATCAACACTGGTGATAGATGAAGTCTGATTTATATGATGCATTTTTTTAAGGTTTTATTTACTTGAGAGAGAGAGTGCACGAGAGAGCGTAAGCATGCACAGGGGCTGGGGTGGGTGGAGGAAGATGGAAGATTCTCAAGCCAACTCTGGGCTGAGCACAGAGCCTGATGTGGGGCTCGATTCCACGACCCTGAGATCATGGCCTGAGCTGAAACCAAGAGCTAGACACTCAACCCACTGAGCCACCCAGGCGCCCCTCTGATGCATCTTACGAGGAAGATGTCTGTGACTCTAGATGTCATTCTTTTTTTTTTTTTCTTTTTTTTTTTTTTTTTTATTTACGATAGTCATACAGAGAGAGAGAGAGAGGCAGAGACACAGGCAGAGGGAGAAGCAGGCTCCATGCACCGGGAGCCTGACGTGGGATTCGATCCCGGGTCTCCAGGATCGCGCCCTGGGCCAAAGGCAGGCGCCAAACCGCTGCGCCACCCAGGGATCCCTCTAGATGTCATTCTTGAGAAATGACACTAGAGCAGGTGTCAATAACTTGAGATAACTTGTTAATCTGATTACCAGTTGCCATTAAATGTATTGCAAAAGTTGAAAAAAAAAAAGTTAAAAGCCCCAAATGAAAAACCCACAAAGTAAAGAGGCTCAAGGCTTCTAGGGCGCAGGGCTCAGTGTCAAAGTCGCAAGACCTCTCTGGAGTTCCAGAAGCGGGGGGTGAGTGGGGTACAGGCAGGCAGGCCAGCTGAGGGGACCAGGCCGGTTGCACAGCTGGGCTTATCTCACCACCTCTGTGACCTGGGCAGGTGCACAGCCTCCCCGTACTCCAGCCTCCTCCCTTGAGACGGGGGCGCCCGGTGATGAGCAGCCAGCTCGGGGCCCACGAGGTTTGACTGCACACATCCATGGTGTGTGTGCTGGTAAAGAGGCGCATGGCCACTTGTCGGCCTCGGCTGGGTGTGGGGTCTCAGAGCGGGCGGCACGGCCTCGCCCCAGTGTACACGTGCTCAAGGGCTGGGGGGATGCAGTCAGCACAAACCACACTCCCTCGGGCCTCAGGCCTCGCCAGGGGACCTGTGCTGCCATCCAGGACCCCCAGGTGACGCCCTGGCCTGGCAGCTGTGCAGGTGTGGGCCCGATGTGCCATGTCTGGGTTGGAAGCAGGGCCCTCTCCACCGTGCCCAGCCATTTCCTGCACTGTCTGTGCAGCCCTGCGACAAGGGCGGGCCCGCGGCACCCATGCACTGAGGGGACAACAGGATGGCTGTGGGTGACCAGCTGCCAGCGCCCTGCCCACCCTGAGTGGCACGCAGCTGTGCCCAGGCCCCAGGGCCATGCCTGCCTCCGCAGCTGCTCTGGTACCCGAGGGCCAGGTTGGCGGGGCCAGGACAGGCAGGTGGGACCATGGTCTGTTCTGGGCTGGCAGCCCTGGCCTTCCCTTTCGGAAAGGAAGGTGGGGAGGGCAGGGGAGGAGGGTCCTGGAGCAGGACTTCAGAAGGCCTCCCTGCTTTCCTATCAGGAAACACATCCTGTTAGTGTCTGGCTGCTGTGGCCCAGCCACTATTTGTTGCAGTTGGCTACGCCCTCCATCCAGCTCACAAAAAACAGCCTTAAAAACAACCATTTCCTCTCTGCTGGGGGGGGGGGGGGGCGCGCGCGCGCACACACACACACACACACACACACACGCGCGCGCGCTTCCCTGCAGCAGGCTCTCTGCTTTCCAGGACCGGCTGTTTGTGGCAGAGGCACAGGGCAGGGGCTCCTGCAGCGAGAGGCCGAGCGGCTCCCAGCACAGCTCCACCGGCCCCACTCAGAGCCTGGCTGCTGGTTTGCTCCGTGGAGCGGTTCAAAGGAGAGACGCGGCACAAATCTCCGTGCTGCCACCCACCCCTCTGGTTTCTTGTGGGGAGAAGAGGTCTCGCTTTCCAGGAAGACGGCGCACACACGACTCTGGGCTGTCGCTGGTGTCCCGGCTTTGTCCCCAGGATGGGCCGAGAGGCTGGCTGCAGCTCAGGCCTGGCTGTGCTCCAGGTGCAGGAGGGAGGGTAAGGAGGGCCCGAGGTGAGCTCACCTGCACCTGTCACGTGGGCCTTCCCGATGCCTCTGAGAATGAGTGGTGATGTCCTCTAGCAGCCTCTAGCTGGTCTTGGCTCTCCCTGGCCACAGCAGCTGACCGGGGCTGGGACTTTCTCCACAACAAGCAGACAGCACAGTGGTCAGCGATGACTGTCCAGAAACTGGTGGCCACAGCAGTGTTGGTGGCCCTGGTCTCTCTTGTCCTCAACAACGTGGCGGCCTTCACCCCAAACTGGGTATACCAGACGCTGGAGGACGGGCGCAAGCGGAGCGTGGGGCTGTGGAAGTCCTGCTGGCTGGCAGACAGGGCCCGGGGAGGGCCGAGCCCCGGGCCCCGGCCAGGGCAGGCAGAGGCACGGGACTGTGATGCTCTGGGCTGGGGTTCTGAGGCGGCAGGCTTCCAGGAGGCTCGAGGCACCGTCAAACGTAAGTCTGCTTATTTTTATGCCTCCTTTAGGGGGTCAGGGCCCACTAGTTCTGACAGCACAAGGTGGGCGTGGGGCATGAGTTTGGTGATGGGCAACCGGGCAGGCCCTGAGCCCCATGCCTGGCTCCTTTAGGACAGAATTCTTCTGTGTGGGTGTGGGGCTTTTCTCTGCCTCCACACACAGCAGAGGGCAGACACATTTACCAGATCAAGGAAGATCCACTTTTCTTGGGGAAGAGACACCCTGTTAGTTATACAATAACCAAGAAGCCTAAACACACGTGGCTGAGTTCTGACTTCATTCCACAGTTGTCAGGGTCATCGAGGCAGGACTTCCAGGAGGAGACCAGCCACAGGGGCAGACAAGGGGCTCAGGGAAGTGGCTCCGGAGAGCAGAGGCCCTCACTGTCCTGTCCTGGCCCCGGCTGGTCACTGACGGGGGGTCTGTTTACTGCTCTGGAAGGTGGGAACTGAGCTTTGACCGCAGGGTCAGGTTTGAGGGTGCAAGTGCGAAGGCTCACAGTAAGGCCCTTGTCACCTAACGTGTCATCTGCATGGTTATAGTACCTGACAGGCAGAGGTCTCCCTTTGAAGCAGTGGATGAGGGTCTAACTCACAGATTGGCAGGAGACAGCTTGTCCTTTAGAGAACCAGAGGGCATAGCAGGGGCACTGCTAACTGCTCTCACAGAGTGCCACAAAGTCCTCAAATAGCACATGCGAGCTCTGTGCTCGGTGTGTGTGTCCCCACCTGCCATGTGCTTGGAGCCCTGGCCCTCAAGGGGGTGGGGCTGGTGGGGAGGGTGGCGTCCAATTCCACAGAGGTGGAGGCTGCAGGACACACGTGCTCGGCCAAGGTCCCCGGGGGAGGCAAGCCCAGTCTGTCCACTCAGAGCCCCTTGCAGTGTGGGGCTCTTCTGTCGGGGAGGGGCTGTGCCCGCCAGCCCCCCTCCACCTCCTTGGCAAGAAGTGCTTTCAAACTTTTCCACACACTCTCAAAAGTCGGTGCAGCTGAGCTTGGGTCCAGGGGGATTTGCTGGTGGAGAGCAGTGGCCTGGGGTCCTAGCACCGCCCCGAGGAGTCATGAAAGCCAGTGACCCTGGCTCTAGGGTGGGCTCTGCGTCACCCTGTCCCAGAGATGCCCAGCCCCTGCCCAGGGGTCACGGTCAAGCAGGTGCGCTCCCCAGGCGTCCATACCCTTTGCCCCCTTGCTGAGGCTAGGAGGATAGAGGGTCGGGATGTGCTCCACCGCCAGAGGTGTGACCCTCCTTCCCGCACGGCCAGCCACGTGTCCTGGCCATCCACCTGCTGTCCCTCCCTGAACACGTGATAAGCTCCCTGTAGGACTTCTACAATGTCCTCACCACTGGTAACACATCTGTGGCAGCTGATCCTTCCTGAACTTCAGAGCATCAGACATTTGCTCCAACTGAGGGACACATTTATGGAAGGTTCTCGTGAGGGAGATGGAGTTGCCGACACACTCCTCACCTGGTCCGTGTAGTGTGAGCAGTAGGACCACGGGAGCTGTGAGCTGGGCTAATCTGCACGCTGCCCGTCCTCCCGGCGCAGGGACTCCCAACACCTTGTTTCTGGGCCCGCACCTGTCACTTCACATCAGGCCAGCATGCAGTCTCCGGATATCAGGGAAAGCCCCAGCCCCTGGTGCGCTGCCACTTGGCTGGGTGAAGGGACGGGGGAGAAGGGAGTGGGTGGTACTGGCTCAGCACTGAACACCCGTCCACACCACGCCGCAGGCTCAACAATCATCCTGATCCGTGACAGGCCTGACACGATCCATCCCGAGCTCCCCATCTCAGGCCCCAGAGTCAGGCTGTCCTAGAGACTGCAGAGGTCCCGGCAGGGGGTGGGGCCAGCAGCCAGGGATGGTGCACGTGCTTGTCTGCACTGCCCCCGGGGTCCTGGCAGCGCTCCGTAGGCTCAGAGTCAGAGCCACCCCATGCTCATGGAGCCAGTGTGCTGAGGGACCACCAGCTGACATGGTGAACTCAGCAGGAGGGGTCTCGAGTGACAAGGCACAGATGGTCCTGTCCCTCAGGACCATAAGGATCTTCCTGCCTGCCGCCCTGGGCAGCGTGTGGCCACGGGGATGGTTCACGGCTCAGGTGGCTCTCCTCTGGAGGAGGGGTGGGGACTCGGCACATGGGAGGTCGTCCTCTGGCTCCCTCTGGCTCCGGAGGAGACCTTACAACCCTGTCCTGGTCAGTCCTACCCTCCAGGCGTTCTTCACTGATCCAGATTCCAGACATTCCATTGGGCACCCCAACCTCCTTTTCTAAAGTGAGGTTGGGGGTGAGTAAACATGTAGTTCAACCTTGGGTGCCCTGCCCTGAGGGCGTCACGGCTCTTTGCCCCGTGGGGGGGCGAGGTGTCTCACCACGGAGGCCAAGAGCACTGGGGCTGGGCGGGAGGGGGGGAGGGTGTGCATCACATTCTGCGCAGCCAGAGCCCCGAGCCATGTTCTCGTGGGGTGCTACTGCCCAGGCTACGCACACGGTGATGACAGCCCGTAACGCGCATGGTGATGCTCCGTCAGCCGGTCCCCTCCAGGTGACTGGCAGAGGTAGCGTGGCTCACAGGGCAGTCTTCTCAGGCAGGTGGTGGGTCTGTGGGCAGTAGTGCTTATCCTTCACCCTCTGACATCTTCACGTCCGCGGGGTTGGAGGCTGATGGGGTGGGGAATGACACCGGGAACCGTGGGTGGCCAGGGAGTATGGCTTGGGGTGTGTGCTCAAAGCACCAGGAAGGACACACAGCTGGGCGGAAGGGGGAGGGTGGGGTCCTGGCTCTGGGGCTAGGACCCTTCCGTGCACGTGGGTGACTTTCCTTGCCCGCATGGCCGCGCTGAGGAATCTTGCACTTCCCGGGCCGGCTCTGAACCCGAGTGCCCCCACTGTGTTCACCACCCCTCGTCTCTAAGGTCACATCCACCTCCCCAGCGCGATCATCTTTGAGGGCATCAGAACCTGTATGTAATCACATGTTGTTAAAACTGCACAGAAAACGGGATGGGAAGACCCCAGAAAGAGCATAAGAGCGTGGCCTCCAAAGGCAGGCAGGTCAGACAATCCCCTGGCTCTGCAAGACGTTCAGCAGGTGGGGACTGTCATCCTCCAGCAGTCCCTCTCTGCCCTCAAGGCCACCTGATTCCTAGCGGCCAGGCCTCTGCTGCTACAGCCCTGCCCGTGTCAGTGCTGGCCTCAGGGAATGGCCTGGGATCCGCAAAGGGCAAGACCCCTCAGCCTCTGAAAGACAACAGGGAGGAGGAAGCTGCTCGCACGCAGTGGCAGGACGCGGTGGACCACCTCGGCTCACTCTGGGCTCCTCTGGCACGAAGCATGAAGGCCTGCCTGGCTATGGGCGACGGTCACAGACACTGTGCAGCCAAGGCCTGGAAGGCCAGGGTCCGCCCTGCTCTCCTGGCAGGGGCTTCGTGGGGAAGGGCCTGACTTCTCGGCAGGTGCGCTCGTGCAGCCTGGCGCTCTGCTATCCAGCGGGGAAGTTGTGTGTCTCCCTGGGCCCCTCGTGGCAGCAGCCCCGACTCCCCGATGTTGGCAGCGCATCTCCCGTGTGCCCAGCTCTGGGGCGGGGTGTGGGAGGGGAGCAGGGAGCAAGGAGCCAGGGAGAGCAGGTCTGCGAGGTCCAGGGTGTAGGCGGAGGCAGGAGCTGACCACTTGTCTTCTCCCGTCTTTCTCAGTGCAGTTTGACATGATGCGTGCCTGCAACCTGGTGGCCACGGCGGCGCTTGCTGTGGGGCAGCTCACCTACATCCTGGGGCTGACAGGCCTGCCGCTGATGTCGCCCGATTCTCAGTGCTGGGAGGAGGCCATGGCTGCCGCGTTCCAGCTGGCAAGTGAGTGCTCTGCGGCCGTGGGCGGGCGGGGCGACTCTCCCCTCAGCTCTGTGGAGCTGGTCTTCTAATGTCACTGCACCCCTGAGGCTCCCCCTCCCACCTCTCACCAGGGCAGAAGCAAGACAGAACGTAGGGAGCACCTGGCTGTGGTTTCCACTTGCTCCCCGGGCTCCCGCCCTCTCCTACTGTAAGACACACTCCAGGCTCACCAGCTGACTTTCCAAAGTATGTGCATCTGCTATTTTCTCTGCCCGTCTGCGGCTGATGTGGCCGACGGCCCGGGCAGGAAGAGCCCCCACCTGACTGCCTCTGCCACGTTCCTCGCTCACGCGGGTGAACGAGAACATTAGGGTGAGCACAAGGCTCCAGCCTGGCTCATCTGCAGGCTCCATGACCAATGCCACTTCCTGGGACCTGGCTGGGGTCAGGGGCAGGCCCTTCCTCATGAATGACACAACACGCAGAAGACACATTAGCGCCGGAGCAAACGCGCCTTGTCCTGGCTTCCACACCCAGCTGCCGGTGCTGCCAGAGGAGCGGGCTGGTAGGCCACAGAGTGGCCAGGCCTCGGGGTGGCAGTAGGGTGACCCGAGAAAGGGTGCAGACATGGGTGCATGGTCTCGAAAGGCTAAGAGGGCGGCAGTGGCAGCGCAAACGAGAAACAGGATTGTTCTGGGAAGTTCTGCACAAGTGGCCGTGGAAGCCACAGAACCTGTCCACGTGACCCCAGGAGCAGAGGGGCTTCTCTGTTGGCTGCCTCTCCACCATACCCCCCTCTCGCCGGCTCAGTTTTTACGACTGTGGAAACCTGAGAAGTTCAGGTTATCTGCTGTGCGTGGGGGAACATCTGGTCAGCGGTCCCATCTGGGGATGACGGGGATGACGTGGGCCAGGGTGTGGGGACGTTAGCAGCCGACCCACCTGCCCCTCCCGCTGGTGGAGAACGGCAGCATGTCCCAACACTCGAGGTACAGCTCCACAGACCCAGTAAAGGAAATGGCAGGAAGTCTGAAGTGAATCATTCCGGGAATAATGGCCCCCGGCCTTATCTTTCTGGAGAACGAGGCCGACAGACTGGCAGGAATTCACATGCTGGAAAGTGACCCAGGTGGGAATCAGGAATTGGAAACAGGCCTTCCTATGCCTTTTAATAGAAGGCGGGTGGTCCTGGGCCAGTCACTTCCCCACAGCCCGGTCACCCGCGGGGACTGGGAGTGCCAAGGGCCGACCAGTTTCCAGGAAAGAGAAGCTGTGGGGCCCAGGGAGCCGGACATGTGCCTTGGCTCTGTCACCTGCAGTCCATGGGAACTGGGGCAGACTGCCAGCCCGCTGGCACCTCCATCTGTCCCCACCAGGCTGGCCCTGAAAATTACGGAGGTGGGTGAGCTGACATCTCTGACCGCCTTGGCTGTGAATAAAAACATGGACGTCACAAAGGACAGTGACCGCTCAGAAAATCACTCCTCTGCCCTCTGCTGACCTTAGGACCATAAAGCAGAAATGGGTCCTCGGCCGCACTGAGGCTGCCCATTTGTATCACATGGGCTTATCTGAAATTACATCCCTTCCAGAAGGAAGTGGAAGATTAGGAACAGATATTCAGGCATTAAAGACATGAAAGGAACAGAACTGGATTCTGAAAATAGCTCCTTGCAGCAGAACAAACGGGAGTGTGGCGCTTTTTGTATGGAATTATCGGGAGAGAGACTGTGGGCTTGGTGTCAAATGGACATCTTACTTCCTGCGAACCCTCATCTCAGAACAAGATAGCGCTGCTTCCAAACAACAGTTTTGAACAAACCGAGATGGGGGAGCCATGTGTTCAGTAAGCCCGAGTCGGCTGGCAGCAACCCCGGGGCGCCCTGGGGCCTGGCGGCATCCAGACCAGCAGACGGGCAGAGGCCACGGGCAGCCCAGGAGCGCCGAGCGCTGGGCAGCCCCTCGCCTCGCAGGCTTCTCCAAGGCGTCCCACCGGCACGCCCACAGGTCTGTTTTGCCCAAAAAGGAAATGCACTTGGGCCCTGTTTAGACTTATTTCATTGACAAACAGTACAGAATGCAGCCGTGGGCCTTTCTTCCACCACACTGCTAATTTTAGAGTTAGGTTTTTTCCTGTGCTCCGGTCTGCTTTAAACAGTCAGGGGGAGACTGAAGGGCGCCGGGATATCCTGTCCCAGGAGAGGAAATGCCTGCTGGTACCTGTTATGCAAGTGAAACTTCAGTCCCCAGTGCCGGGGCCAGAGGGTGGGCAGTGGGGAGAGAAGGTGCTGACGGACTCACGGGGAGGCTGAACAAGCCGGAACCAGCAGGGACAGCCCCGCCCTGCTCGCCACCCTTCCCCTCGGGGCGCTGGGCCCTGCTCCTCACACCTGCTCCTGCAAAGGACCCTGCCATGGGGGGCCATGGGGGCCTGGAGCTGCTGTTCGCAGCCAGGTCAGCGCCAGCCGCTCCACCGGCTTTCTTCTGCCCTGTTCACGCTGTCACACCCAGTGGCCGCTGGCTCCCTTGCACAACCTTCCAAGTGTAATTTCAATTGACCATAAATCTGAAAACATTCCTTGCCGTCCCTCATTCCACCTCCGCAAGCTGAACGTTCCCATGCCACCCCCACGTTGTCCCTGTGATGAGAGCTCCCATCTGGGCTGTGAAGGCCGGGAGGATCTGTGATGAGAACTTGCCAGTGTGGCGACCGATGAGCCGACCCCGTCCCACAGCCATGTGCCTGTACAGGCTCCTGGTCACTGGCTCTGCAGCTGGGTCCCCTGTCCTTTACTGTCATGTGTTGGACAACTTCTGCTTGTCTGAGTCCGGTCTCACCACGGGGCAAATGAAGGTGCATGCTCAGCCTGGCCCAATTTCTGCAGATGCCACCGGGCCCTGTGTCAGACACCTGAGTGACACCTGGAACAGATGATAGTGGACGGTGGATTTGGCAGGCAGCTTGCCCGGCGGGCACCTTGGGATGAGGGTTCTTTGCTCTGGAGGGTTCCTGAGCATGCCCGGGGCTTTTCCTGGGGCATCTAGGCACGCAGCAGGTCCTGAGGCCCTGGATGAGCCACGCCATCCCTATGTTCTCACGCAGCTGGATGGTGGTTGCCAACCTGCAGGTGCTGGCTGCGTCACACCTGTTGCTGATTATCCTGACTTCGAACCCTGGCCTGCTGGGGGGGCCACAGCACAGTGTCATCACTGCTCAGGGTCAGAGCTGAGGACTCCCCACTGCACCACCAGCAGGCCTGAGGAGTGCCCCAGTGGGTGACTCCAAAATTTCCTAAGTGTGACCCTCCTGTGGCTCTTCAGGGGTTCACAGGCCCTGGGCTCTGGCTGTCGGCTGCATAGGACTAACCAAATTTGATCCCAGGATAACAATTTTAGGTGGGCCCATCTCATGGTTATTCAGGGCTCTGTTTGAGGGTCAAGCTGCATCTTTGAAGGGCAATTCCCTGGCCATCGCCTACGTGGCCCCAGAGCGCCATGGCCACATGCACACATTCAGGCTGGTGATGCAGCTGGCATCCCACGTGGCTTCCTGTCAATACCTGTTGGCTGGCAGGCTCTGCCCTGTGGCTTGCCTGCAGTGGGTCCTGAGGGCCAGGCTTCTCCTCTGTTCCCTCCTCCAGACCCGCTCCCCTCGACCTCACCAGGGCATCCAGCGCCCCCCAGGGGTGTTCCAGGATGTGCCCACCTGTGTCTGGGTCACCTGGGGCACTGAGGAGAAGTCCAGTTGCCTCTGTGACGTCCCAGTGGGGTCCTGGTAGTCCAAGCGCACCACCTGCTTTATAACCTGGCTTTGGGTCTGCTGGTGACAAACCTACTGAGGTATGCTTCTCCTGCCTCTCAAGTGTCCGGCTTTACACTTTATCAGCTCTGATCTCAAGTGACCCCTCACCTCCATCTTTGCAGAAGTTTAGCCCTGGCTCCTTGCCAATCATCCGAGTGACACTGCAGCATGCCGAGACTCATGGTTCTTTCTGAAGTGCGATCACAACTGAAAACTGGTTTAGTTCAACTACAAACATACAGCCAACTCACCAGAGGCCTCTGCTTGGCATCATTCTCAGTACCTTTGAGGCGGCAGCAGGCTCTCCTTGGGAACCCCCTTGCATGACTCCTCACCTCCTCTGGGGAGGTTGACCAGCAGCCTTGAGCTCACACCACACTCCCAAACGAGGAAACTCACAGGCGTGCAGCTCTGGCCCTCACCCCTTCATTGCTGGCACGTGGCACCTCAGAGAGCCGTCCCCGCACACATGTCCCACTGCCAGAAGATGCCAACTGGAGCTAGTCTGCTCCCAGCTTGGCCCTCCTCCTGGCATGAAGCCTCCCAAGCTCCAGTGGGACGACTGTGGGAGGAGAATCACTGCAGAAGCTCCTGGGGTCTCCATCTCTGGCTGCTTCTCTCTGCGTCTAGAGGTCACGATGTTTTTTCTTATGATGGCAAAACTTACAAACATACAAGGTACTCTGGGGCCCTGAGAATGCTCATATCATCAGCCCTCGTCGGAGAGTCGGGTTGATAAGCTGCAGGTGTCTTGGTGTCTCATGAGCTTGGCGTTTCATAGGCTCGGGGATCTTCTCATAGGAACACACAACTTTCACAATATGGTGGGACTCAGCTTGGTCTGGACGACATGCTTTTCTTTGGTGCCTGCTTCCCCAGCGCCGGTCTGCACCCCAACCACACCGTGCGTTATTCCCTTCACTTCCATGTCCTCTGTGCTGCTCAGAGTGACAGCATCTCAGGCAGCACTTGGGAGCTCGAGCTCTGTGGAAACATGACCAGATCCGCTGTCCCTCGAGCTTTTCCTTTCCCAGAATCCCTCCCTCTAGGAGGAACACGAGGAGAATCACCTTGCTGCTCACAGGTGCTGGGACATCCCAAGCACGGCCATGCCCCAGTCTGCTCTGTGAATACTCTGGAAGTGGTCATGACACCTGAGTACAGGTGCAATGCAAGGCAGACACGCTGTGTGAAGGCTGAGGGTTCAGCCCCATGGTCTCTCCTTGGACCACCTGCGTGTGCTTGACTGTCACTCCAACAGGAAGCCCTGTGACAGGCACTGAAGCCCTCGGAAGCAGGCAGGAAGGGAGCGAGAGGAAAGGGACACTCTGCAGGCTGAGCTGTGATTCACAGCGCCCGTGTGGCCAGCTCACAGGAAGGGGCTGTTTGCTTTGGAAACAGAAATTCATGAGGATGGAGTTGAGTCCACAGGCCGAATCCAGGGTGTTTGCTCAAAGTCTCTCCTTGTATTTGCTGCTGGACAAAATGAACATCACTGGAAAGTCTTGGGAGAGAAGTCTCTGGGATAATTCTGAGGGGGTCTCCACACCAGGATCCCAGAGATGGGCAAGCCCGAGGTTTAAGGCAGCCTGGCCCAGGTCTGCTTCCTACGGCCATCCTCTCTCCCCCAGCAGGAAAATTTCATGAAGGCAAACAGCAAGAAGATTGTCTATATAACGGCAATCACCCAGCGCCAGGGTGGAGGCTGGAGGCTGGAGGCAGTCAGCTAGGCCATGGGCCCGAACATGTTGTTGCTTATCAGTGTGTCTGCGGGTTTTCACTGCTGACACATAGCACACACGAGAGGTCACATGAGCGGTCATCGTGTTCCACGTGTCTGTGCAGTTCCCACTGCACTCAGCGGCCTGGGTGGCATCCACCTGTCCCTGCACGGCCTTGACAGGACATCCACCTGCGGAGCCAGGGCTCTTCTTATAGCTCCACGCCTGTGCCACTGTTCTAGTAGGTCCCTTGTATCTTCTTGTATTCCTAAATATATATTTTTTTAATTTTGGGGAATCAAGCCCTTTCTGTGACCACATGTGTTTTAAGTCGAACAGAAACAAAACAAAAGCCAACACTAGTCTTAACACAGAATAGGCCACGTAAATGTGAATTTTTTTAAACCTTTTTTTCACACAAGGATGCAGAGATCAGCTTTCTTTCCCACTTCTAGAAAAAGAGCCAAGTAAGGTGCAGCCTCTGAACCAGGCCAGAGAAATGAGACGCACCCTAGGCTGTGCTCAAAACCTGCTCAGGGCCACCTACTGCCAGACGGCCAGTTGTTCTCCAGACAGACAGATTCTCTAAAGCTCTGTCTGTCAGGCTCTATCACCTTGCGGGATGTAGGTAGCTACCTCAGCTTGTTTGTGCACCTGTGAATTCACATTCTTTCATCGATCTACCACCCCCTTGAACGTTCTTTCATGTTTAATACAAAATATCTTACTCTCAACATGGAAGCAACGACATGCTCTGATACCCGAGTCCGTGCATATTGCAGGCAATAGAGCCACACATAAGGGAGGAAGTAATAAACAGACTAAGATGCAACAAAATAATAGCCTACCCTGTGTTCAGAAATATTCCATTATATGATACTGATCTTTAGAAGATAAGAAACAAGACAATTAAGTAACAGTGTGGTGCTGGTGAAAATAGGTGCATCCCACATCTTGCCTGTGGACAGACCCTTGTGTGGGCCCGAGGTCCCTCTGCCACTCGGGGCTGGGATGGTGAATGGCGCTGAATGAGGTTCTGGAAGCTGGCAGCTGCTCTGCCCACATGCTTTGTGGCCTGGTCCCATGAGCTAACATTTTCACTGCCTGGAGTTCAGAGTGTCCATACAACATTCTCTCGGTGTCAAAACCCAGCTGACATCATTCCCCATCAGGGTCTACACAGGTCTGCCCCACTATGCTCCCCCGCCAGTGCTCCTCCACCTGTGCTCACCACACTGGACCTGGGTGCCTCCATTACCTGGAGCACCACCCTGTGGGGATGAATTTCATCTTCACCACTCCAAGAAGAATGTCAGTTCCCCAAGGATGGGTCAAGCATGCCTTTGCCGAGCACATGCTAGGAGCCCTCCCGTGGAGAGTGAGTAGCTCTGCTGAGCACATGCGCATGGAAACCAGAGAACAGTGTGGGAACCTGCACATCCTGCTGCGGCTCCAGCACTGAGCGACACAATCATGGCTAACAGGCCCTGTCTGCCTGATGGCCTTGGTCACTATAAAGCTGCTGTTCATCACATCTCCTTCCCCAGAGGCCCACACTGCATTCAACTTGTTACCCTGGGATCTATCTGGGTTTGTCTCAAGTAATTCACTAGGTGATTCCTGGACAACCCTTTGGGAAGCCAAGCTGGATGGGGGGCCACCCTCCAGCCACAGGAACGCCAGCGGTGGAGACTGAGCTGGGGCAGCCTGACTGGTGACTGGATGTCCAGGCCAAGTGCTGTCGGCAGCCTTCCTCCCCAGGGCTGGTTAAATGCAGGGGCAGCAGCAGCAGCAAAGACCCAGAGAGGATGGAGCTTAGCATCCTGGAGGAGCGGCAAGGTGGCCAGCGTGGCCACACCGTGACACATATGGAGATGGGAAGCCACAAGTGGTGGGGGCAGAGATTCGAGGCCAGGCAAAGGCACACAGCTGACGGCGCCCCACACCTGGGTGACACAGGGGCATTCTCCCTTCTGCCAAGCAAGGGTGCGCGGCCCCCTCCAGCTGCAGGCCCGCTCTGCACCGCTCTTCACAGAGAGGTCCCTATGACCATGACAGACTTCCCGGTCCCCTGTATATACTCAGCAGTGCGGTCAGCTGACCCCCATAAGCTGCAGGGCTGGGGAGAGGCTGTCCACCTTGCACTCGGCCTCCATGCCCCCCACAACTGATGATGTTGCAGAATTGGGGCTCAGGCCACATATCAGATTTTTAAATGTTCCTGTAACCCGACAACCCCAAAGGATGCTTGGCCGCCATTGGGGTGACTTCCTTCCCACTGCTCTGGTCTCCACGGCTGCTGCCCTGCTGGCATCCTCCCTCCGCTAGGCCAGGCTCCCTGCCCGGAGGCTCCTGCCAGCCTTGCGGTGAATGCCTGTCCCCCAGTCAGCACCTCCTTGCTGCGACCTCAAGCCCGGGCAGCAAGCTGGCAGGCTCTTGTGCTGTTCCCTGCCCTCCCGTCCTGCTGAATCTTGCTGACACAGGCACAACGAGCTCCTCGGCTAACCAAAAATGCCCGAGGACACAGAAAGATGAGGGAACACACAAAGTATTTTCATTTTCATGGCACAACAGACTGTAACTCCCTTCTCCATGAATGTAAAACTTGGTGCCACAGAACTGTGAGCAAGGGACATGCTCTTCACTGGGAGAGAGAGAAATGCCGGGAGCTTCCTTTTGTCAATGTGCGTGACAAGAAGAATTAGTTATTTTTAACAGAAACAAAAAATATCCAGAAGCTTTCTGAGTGTAAAAAGCTGCACAAAGGACTGCAGAGCATTAAGAGGGAGATTAGTCACTGCCGCTGTTGTTTACCACATGATTGAGGTGGATAAATGTTTAATTCATACTTTCTGGAAGGTGCAGTGATGACGAAACTGTACCGCTTGTGCTTGTGGAAGCTCAGGCCTCCTCCACCCCTCACTCCCACACTAATTTATAACAGTTTCCAGAACCACAAGCTGGCACCACTGTGGCCCAGCTCTGGGGCCACAAGGGTCGTGCATGATCTGGTTTCCTGAGGAAAGCAGGGGAGGCTGTGGGGAACAGAGGGACCAGCATGAACAGGCACACGGATGTCACAGTGCAGGGCAGGGGGAGGGACTGTAGTGAAAGGCTGCCCTGGCCAGAGCCCAGAGCAGGGAACAGGGACAGTCCAGCTGGAGGGTTGTGTCTGGACCACTGTGACAGACTCTGTCCTTTTCAGGTACCCTGAGTTCCAAGAGACATCTCCCCCCAGGTCACCACCGCAGAAGGCGGGGTGCTGCTGGAGAAGATGGGCCCCCTAGGCTTCCCTGGCCTCTGCTTCTGCCCGGCCCCCTCACCCTTGCCAGCCAGGGCTCCCGCTCAGCACTGCGCCTCCTTCCTGCCTCGTCCGGCTCTTCCTGGCTGAGGGGTTGGAGGGCTGCCTTGGACCAGCCTCCTGTGCAGTGGGACGGTGGGGCCTCTCTTCTCTCCCAGTCGGGGCTCCCAGCCCAGACTCAGCCCTGAACTGTATCAAACATCAATGTCCTGTTATCCTAGCCGACAGGTCCTGGGCACGAAATCCTGGGTTTCCTATTGTAAGAACTAATAAAGCGTGAAAGGAAATGACACCGTGGTGCTATGTGCTAACAACGTGAGCAAGCCGTGCTCACTGAGGTCCGCTCGGGACTCTGTCTGCAGTCAGAAGAGAAGGCTACAGAGGGAAATCAAGCAGGAGGAGGAGACGTGGGGGTGCGAGGGAAAGTGTAGGACCAGGTACAGGGTGCGGAGGTGAGAGGACACAACAGCAGGAGACCTGGATGTGCCTGCAGCCCCGGCATCTGCCCCTCCCCAACGTGGGCACTGGGTGCACCAGAGTATGGAGAGAAAATCTCTATCTGCTCTAGCCGTGAACAGTAAGAACAGGACTGAGGTAGATACTGATCTGAGCTGTTTCTAGGTAAGATCTAGATAATTCCTGAATCTACTTTCACTTGAGTGAATTAAGCACTTAGGTGAGCCTGTGAGGAGCTCACACAGAGCTGCTGCTGGGTTCGTCTGGAGGTGAGGGACAGGCAGCAGCAGTGTCACCTCCCTGAGGAAGGTGGCCAAGAACACAGCCCAGCCCTGGTGGACCAAAGGGAGAGCACGCTGGGACCGGGCTGTTTTCTCACGGAGCGCCTCCCAGATATTGTTCTGTGCCAGGAGTAAGTAGACATACGCTGTCCCAACACAGCCACCCAAAGGTCACAAAAGCCCACAGAGACCCAATGCAAGGCAGCTCGACGCTGAAGCACAGCCCGGAGTTGGGCCACCACCACGGGGCCTGACAGAGGTAGAGGCAGGAAGAAATGGGAGCTGCGCCTCTGTAGGGCTCTATAGCCAGTTTGCTGGCCTCCTCCTGGCTGCAGGTAAGGCTTTCTGAACACTCCTCTCTCGTTTGCAGGTTTTGTCCTGGTCATTGGGCTGGTGACATTCTACAGAATCGGCCCATATACCAACCTGTCCTGGTCTTGCTACCTGAACATTGGCGCCTGCCTTCTGGCCACCCTGGCAGCTGCCATGCTCATCTGGAACATTCTTCACAGGAGAGAGGACTGCATTGCACCCCGGGTGATTGTCATCAGCCGCTCCCTGACTGCGCGGCTTCGCCGTGGGCTGGACAACGAGTATGTGGAGTCACCATGCTGAGGGCTGCTGGGGAGAAGGCTGCTCCGGCCTTGATTATTATAACCCGACAGCACAGAGACCGAAGGGCTGTCGGCTGTCTGTGTGGGCGATTCGTATGGTTTCCTATATATACATGTACGATACATAGCTATGTTTACTATGTTATATATAAATATATTACGTGGTTATATATTGCCTGCGCCACCCTCCTTCTGATGTACCCATGACTCAGCTTCACTTTTGCGCATATTCCAAGGAGGAGACCAGTGCCTGAGGTGTATGGACGGCGGTGGCCAGCTCACCTTGGTCTCGGATTAATTTATTCTGTATCTGCTGAGCAGTGGGTCTTTGGTCATATTTACTTTGGTAAAGCAGAATACTTGGGGAGATTTTCTAGAACTGTCTGTGATCTTCCTCGAGTGACTCAGAATCTACAACCAGAAGGTTGCGGCTTTATGACAGGATCGTGTTAGTAATGTCTGTTTTGCTCCTGATTATTTTTCTAAGTTAAAATAAAATGTAAACTTCTCACTATTGCATAAAACTTGTGTTTTATCCATCACACTGCCACATGGGTGAAAAGAATTTGGTCTATTTTACTGTCATTTTTGTGGGTTGGCAGGAAGAGAAGGCTTGAAGCATTTTTCAAGACCTGGTGGGCACATAGCTGTGGGTCACTCATGCCCTTACTCACGTTTCCATTCGACCAAGTCTCTGAAGCCCATGTTCCTACAGACTGAACACTGTGGCCGAGTGACAGCAGACCAACAGCTGGCAGTGTAAGAGGGGAAAATATCTATTTATTTAAAGAAAATTCAGAGACTATTGTAGATTTTTCCCCTATAAAAATCTTCAACCTGGGCAACCTGGGTGGCTCGGCGGTTTAGCACTGCCTTCGGCCCAGGGCGTGACCCTGGAGACCCGGGATCCAGTCCCACGTCAGGCTCCCTGCATTGGAGCCTGCTTCTCCCTCTGCCTGTGTCTCTGTCTCTGCCTCTCTCTCTCTCTCTCTCTCTCTCTGTCCCTCATAAATAAATAAAATATTTAAAAAAATATTCAACCTAGCTTCAGCCGAATGCTGGGCGGTGTACAGAGGGCCTTCGTGATACTACATGGGTCCCAAACAACCCTGGTCCTAAATCTGGAAGAGGGGCATCAGCTATAACACCCCAGGTAGAACGCAGAGCATTGAAAGCTGTATCTCAGGGGCTCAAAGCCAGCCCCACCCCCGAGAACCCTGACACTGCCTCAGCACATCTGTGAGGACAGTCTGCGCCCCCGTACCTGCCTGGATGCATCCTGGATGCTGCAGTGCTTGGCCCCGTGCCACCTGGTGACAGTGATCACCAGGAACGTGGCACCGGGGCCTGTGGGTCAGATCCCAGGCCTGCTGGCTGCCTCCCCCACACGAGGCTGCCTCCCACTAAGAAGCGTTCAGCCTTGCTGTTCTCAGCCTCCCAGAGAGTGCGAAGTGGTCAGCGTGGAGCCTGTCTCTAGTAAGAACAGTGGATTGGGATTGGTGTTTTAAAAAACATAAAGAATTGAGAATGACTGAAGAGCAGCTACAACCTGACCATTTATAATAAACTCATCACATGCTGTAGAAATAACCAGATTATGTCTGATATCAGCACACTCAAGTCTGATCTTTCTCCCTCTGAGCTGCTTCTCCCGATTCTGAATCACATGCTAAAAAAAATAGTCTTTTAAAAGAGTAATGAAGTATTTAGGATATGCCGTTTCACAGTACTATGTTTAGAACCATCTGAGAGTACACAACAGTATTCAAGTTGACCCTGTGGTCGATCATGGCCTCTGTTTATATCACATGAAAAGCGACCAGACACTTTGCATCCAGACACCTCCCAAACTAAGAGTCCTCTTGTCCACATCCACCGCCAGTGTGCACAAGGCTCTTCCCACACACAAGGTCTGGCCTCACTGTTTTAGAAAAAAGACGAGGGACTAGGGCTGCCGTATTATTCTGAAAGGTGCTTCAACGTTACAGAAACCATCACTGCCAAGGAGGGGCCACCTCGTGGTGGGGCAGGAGGGACGCCTGTTTCAGGTGACTGAATTTCTCATCTCTTTCTTCTCATTTCAGTTTTATTCTGCAATAATTTTTCTATCCTTTGGAGATTAAAATCTGTCAAATGCTCTTGAGAGGAATTGTTGAATTCTCTCAGGAATGGAGAGGAGACTGCTTGTAGACAGCCTATGGGTAAGAACTTCTTTCAGAAAAAGGGTGCCTGGGTGGCAGAGTCAGTTTTGGCTCAGGTCATGATCTCAGGGTGTGGGGGTCAGACCCATTCAGGCTCCGCAGTCAGCGGGGAGTCCGCTTCCCCTCTTCCTCCCCCTGCTTATGCACGCACATGCTTTCTCTCTCTCTCTCAAATAAATAAATAGGGACACCTGGGTGGCTCAGTCAGTTGAGTATCTGCCTTCAGCTCAGGTCATGATCCCGGGGTCCTGGGATAGAGCCCCACATTGGGCTCCTTGCTCAGCGGGGAGCCTGCTTCTCCCTTTCCCTCTGCCCCTCCCCCGCTCATTTGCTCTCAGATAAACAAAACTTTAAAAGAAGTAAGTCTTTTTAAAAATTCCTTTTAGAAAAAAGTTTTCTCTTAGAGAAATTTTTAAAAAAGATTGTTTATTTATTCATGAGAGACACAGAGAGAGAGAGGTAGAGACACAGGCAGAGGGAGAAGCAGGCTCCCCGCAGGGAGCCCGACGTGGGACTCGATCCAGGGATCATGCCCTGGGCCGAAGGCAGATGCCCAACCACTGAGGCGCCCAGATGTCCCACTTAGAGCAATTTTAATTGCATTTTCACTGTACTGTTTTGAGTGTTTGGTATTCAAACCTTCCTGTTTAGTAGCAACTATTCCCAGAGGAACAGGTATTACAAATATTTAGCAACCACAGAACTTTCCACTAGGAAGAATCCAGAACACTTTACAATAAATGAAACAAAAAAACAACAGCCCAAAAGACTCGGAGCCCCGAGAGGAGAGCCAGGCTCACGTGTTCCGTCTGCCCCACCGCGCCGCTGTAACACACCGGCTCTGCATCATAACATGCCAAGGCTGCCGTGGCGTCCCCATGTGTTGCAGTGTTTCCGTGGGTGACAAACCATGAAATATACCATGACAGACTCACACAAGAGTTACTGATTCTCAGAACCTCGTTTGGAGGGGAGAGAGACACAAAGACTCACAACCCATCCCAGTGAGCAGAGTCCTCACCTTTTGATGAGTTTGATAGATTTGAAAGCTTCATCCATGTCTCCGATGGCGACGAAGAAACTGAACTGAAGCATGGCATCCCGAGTGGGCTTATCGCAGCCCTCCAGCCCGATGAAGTCTCGCAGTGGCCTCCTGCCCACGCATAGGCACCCTGAGTCCACCTGGTCTTCTCTGTCTGCTTCTCCTGGCTGAATGACAAAGGCCACACCATTAGTTGTCAGCTCACAGAAGGAGAATGCCTACGCTAAGCCGCTGCCTCGGGAGCTATGTCAGCCTTGGGTCTGTCTGCAGGCAGGCATGGATGAACTGACCCTGCCAAATGCTGCACGAGTGTGTGGGCATTCGAGGTCATCAGAGCCCAGGCTCCAGGCTCAGGCTGCAGGAGAGCGCAGGCTGTCCACGGGTAGGGACCCATGTTCAGCCTCTAGTTCACTCAGCCTACCTTCTCAACAGGCATGAAATGACTCTGCAGACGCCCCCTTCCCAGGGCTGTTCTGAAGCCTGGAGAGAAGTTTCACGACCAACTTGGACACTCTCACACAGCCTCAGAGTCTTGCAGTTAAGTGACCCAATATGATTTCAGGTAGAATTTTCCAAACCAATAACCTGTATTAGTAGTGTGCCCTCCCTGATGTTTTTCACAAGAATCAACCTAGTGCCCTGCTCCCCAAACAGGCATATGAAGAAGAAGAGAGCCCTTTCCCAGTCCTAGCCCAGGAAAACATACTCCTGTGCTGGCCAGCCAGCCTCGATGCTGTTTTCTATCCAGCAGCCTAAATCCAGCCTACTGGGAGGACCCGTGCACCCATCCTCTTCAACTTCTGGTCCCTTCCCCCTGCTGGGTGCTGGTCTCCTCTGGACTGGAGTCCACACATACCACCCTGTCTCCTGCAGCACCTGCCTTTCCCTGTGCAGGTTCTGCTTCCTGCTGTAAAGGGGGGGTCATGGTCACTCCTTGGACCCAGCTTCCCCAGCACGTCACTGGTCTGGTGGGATATTGGCTTATAAGCATATGTTTGGTCTTCCAGATAACCAAATATATATTTCTCACATGCACTCAGTCTTTACCACTGGTTCATGGCTCACAGCCAGGAGAAGGGCCACAGAGGTGCCTTCTGTTCTGTGACTGAAGATGACTTTGGGGCTCCACCAAAGGGCAGGGTGGGCTGCCAGGATGACCAACTGTTCATCAGAGGGCTCAAGTTTCAGGCCCACCCCGACCTCCAGGGCGGGGACAGCCCCCCCACCCCACCCCAGGTTAAATCCATTGCCAATGACCAATGACTTAGTCCATTAGGACTACGCAGTGAAGCCTCCAAAAAGACCCAAAAGGACAGGGTTCAGAGAGTTTCCAGGTAGCTGACCACCTGGAGGTGTGGGGGGAGTGGCGCCTGGAGACCCCTGGGAGCTCTGTGCCCACCCCAGGCCTCGCCCTGTGTATCTCTTCATCCAGCTGTAGATTCGTCTCCTCTATTCTACCCTCCGATAAACTGATAACATGAGCCTGAGCCGCTCTAGCCCAACTGGAAGGGGCTCTAGCCCCCAGAGGAGGGGGCCCTCCACTGTAGCCTGTGGTCAGAAGCACAGGACTGGGGACTGGCATCTGGGGTGGCGGTGGGGGCAGCTGGGTAGGGCCGAGCCCCTCATCTGTGGGGTTAATGCTGTCTCTGGGTGGATGGTGTCAGGACTGAGTTGATCATGTTGAGCACAGAGCTGTAGATACAAGTGTTAAGTCACTATGTTGTGCACCTGAGGCTAATACAGAATCATATGTCAACTGAGCTGTACTTCAAGGGGAAGAAAAAAAAGAACTGAGTAGAATTGTCAGGCACTCAGCTGATATCTAAGTGATAGCGGAGTCTTACATGGTGTGGCAGGGGAACCCCTTGCCACGGTGGAATCAGGCCCAAGAACCCCAATCTCCCCCTTGCTGCTGCTGTGTGTCCCCTGTCTCACTCTCAGTTCCCAGCAGCCCCCATCTCATGGCTCCGTCTGACGTTCACCTGCAGTCCCCAACTTTAGGAGGCACTAGACCTGGGCCTTAAAACACTGGTAGGATCTGTCAGACCCAGGTATGGATGGCAAGACTCTTGCAGGCAGGGTGGAGCATAAGGACATGGGGCAGCCCAGTCTAGGTAGCTTGAATATAGGGCTCGTGGATAAACATCAGCAGGGTCATGTCAGAGGGAGGCTGAATGCTGCAGAGCTTGCAAGGCAGAGGCCTGCTTCCATCAGGTCAGCCATGCTGGGGATCTTATCAGAACCTGGCCCACTGTGGCCACACTTGGG